AGTGGCTGAGCTGGGACAAGGGGGGTGTGCGGTGGGGGAGGGGGTGCGGGGGTGTTTGCCATCCCTCGCGTTGCCTCATCCATCTCCTTCCCGTCCTGTTTTGTGTCGCGTTTGGTCCTTTCTTTCCCCCCTCTCCCCCCCTTTCTCTGTGAGACCGTATGCATCTCATGTTCTCATGGGTTGGTCCTTTCCTCTGAGGCCTTTCCCTATGAAAACAGGTAAGGTGACAGGTGGCTTTTTGAGAGGTAACCGAGGCTGGTCAGAGCTGAACAGGCTGCCTTGGTTGAAGAAACCCGTTGCCTGAGTGAGGGGAGGTGTGTGGCCCCCCTGGACCGGCAGCTGAAGGAAGGATGGTATGATGTAATCTTGCTGGCATGTGAAGTGCGGCACCTGCTTAACGTTGCTGCTGCTTCTTTATCGATGCAGAAACACGCATCTCATGGACTCGGGTTCAAGGAAGCAATGTTTCATGCCTGAAAAGGCAATTGGTTAAAATGAAATGATGTAATTTTCTGTACATTAGCTTCTTGAATCTACTTCCCTCCCCCCCCCCAAAAAAAAAAAAAAAAATCAGGCTTTGGAGATCTAAGTTCTGTTATGCTTCTTTCAATTTTGGCTCTGCCAGGGTGTCAGGAGGCCTGCAGGCTTGGTTAGTTCTGATTAAACTAGCCAAAGTGAGTTTGGGGGCCATTATAATAATACTGCATTGGAGGTTCCTTTGCTTAACTCATTGTTGGAAGGAGTGCTTTCTTTTCAGCTGCCTGGTTGAAACGCCATGGCGTATGCTTTAAATAACATCTTGGGAATGGGAGGAGGGGAAACTACAGAACTCATGCACCAATGCTTTAGGTTTGTGTGTGTGGCTTAATTTTTTTTTTAAATATTCCTCATGTGAGGATGAAAAAAGAGTAGCTACAAGGAGTGTGTTCATACTGTTTCCTCTTTAGTTTCATTCTGCCAGGGTCAAAGCGTGAGAAAGCTGTGATTTGGGCTACAAGTAGATTCTAATTCTATATGACGACTGTTGAATGAGCTTTCGGCCACTTGAAAATATGTTCTGCGTTTTCATTTTTGTATGAATTAACACTTGCCATCTGTGCATTCTGGACTCAGAGCTGTTACGAAAAAACCAGGGAACAAAAGAAGTAACCTTCACGATTATACACTTGATAACTGCTAGACCCAGACTGAACACCCCTCAACTTTTTTGATTATAAATGTTTTTGAAAGTTTTGTTTTTTTTAAATAGATGGATATGTTTATCCTAAAAATATGAGCTAGGAAAACTTAATTTTGAAAAGTATAAGTTTTGCAGGTGAAAGTATCCTGTTTAAAAGCAGCATTAGTGAAATGTTATTGTTTCTAGTCACCTTCATTTTTGTGAAGAGCTACAGTTAAATTGACCCTTCCGGTAGCATTTCATTGTAGCTCTTTAGCCATGCTTCCCTGTGTGATAATCGTGTTGTTTCCTACAAGGATTCTTGAACTTCTGAACTAAATAGGCTTCTAAGAGTTCCTGCGAATTCTGAGAAGTCAAAATTGACTGGAGAAAGGCTGAAATTAGTGTCCCTGCAGCTGCATAGCTTGGAGCATGAATAGGTCAGAACCATTTACTGTGCAGCTGCCACAGAGGGTGCATGAGAGATGCAGGTGCTGTGAGAAGGGAAGGCTAGGGTGTGCAAGGAGAAACCAGCAAGCCTGAGGTCAGCAGGGATTTGCCTGGTGCCCTTGTATTTCATCACAGACCTAGGAAATGGGGTCTCTTTAGGTCTACTGCTTACCAAACAACTTAACAAGCAGCTGCGTCTCCTTCCCCACCCCCCAGCTTCCTTAGCTGCAGGGACTTGCACAGATTTTGCTTTGAAGAAGGTCAGTGAATTACATTCACAGCTGTAGTTAGTTTTGGGAAGCACTTGTCCTCTAAGTTAATTGAAAATTACTTGCTGTAATTAATTTTTAAAATTATGTTTCCTCCTCCCCCCCTCCCCCTTTGGAGAGCCCTAATTAAAACTGCATTCTCTGTTCTTTTAGATTTGGATATCTGTGGGAAACTCTCCTAAAACTATTGCTGTTATAGGAGGTGGGGGGGTGAGGTGGCAGGGAACCCAACCCTATGATCATCTTGCTGCTCTCCTCCCTTTTCCCATCAATATCCTCCATTTCCATTATTTTTTCTAGCAACTAGCGTAAAGGAAACTCACTAACAAATATTCCTCCTCTCTCCTTAATTGCCATGTGTTTACTCTTTCTTTTAGTCACGCCAGCTAATAATCTCTCAATATGAGTGGCATCTCCTTCTTGTTCTATCCCCATTCACAAACTATATAAACCATTAGTCAAATTTCCTGTGTTTTTCCCTTTTTTTTAACTCTGTTTTCTGTACTCTTTAGCTTTCTTACATCTGTCGTGAGACCCTTGAAGGAGCCTGGTTTGTGCAGAAAGCTATGTCACAGCATGTGTCCCCAACAAATCTGCTTCTGCATAGAGCAAATGTTAGAATTTGGACCCTGGTTCTAGTAATTATTTTATTTGCCTGTCTTAAGTAGCTTTACACAGTGGTGAGAATGTGCCACATACTTGTCAGAGTAGTATGAAAATAAGGTGTGCTTAGCACAGTAGCTGGGCATTTGTTGCGCATAGCGGTAGAGGAGGCTTTCAGTGTAATTCTGAGGATCAAATACTGGCATAACAGCTGGTGGAATTTTGCAGGGAGAACAGCGTGTTTTAGAGCCTGATCTATTTCATCAAAAACGTGGGCACGAAGAAAGGATTCACAGCTGATGTGTGAAGTCAGAGCAGATGAAGGGTGCCCTCTCACTTTCTCTCAGTAGGTCCTCAGTCTGTATGTAGAAATGAAGCTTAAGCTCAAGCTGTCAGCTGCTGGCTTGTTAATTAGCTCTGCAGTATTGCTGACAAGGCTCTCATTCCCTGAGCATGCTCCCTGTAGCTTAACTTTGACTGTATACAAAAAAAGTTAGAGGGGAATGTTTGTACACAAAACTGTTGTAAGGGGTTGTGGGTGTTATGATAGGGTGTATCTGAGAGAATGGAGTGTTTTGTAAATATGAAAGCCTTTTAAGCATACTTTAAGAAAGAAAACAGGGGAAAACGAAGTCCAGGAAATGAGTATAAATGAGAGAATAAATTCTTCAGAATTACTTGGATACACTGCAAGCTATCACATTAAAGGACAGAAAATAAAATTGTGTGTCATTGAAATAGTTGATTCTGGGCTGGAGCGGGTACACACCCCGTCTTTGTACAGACTAGACTACTGAGAGAAAATAAAGAACTCTGCGAAATGAGAAACCCTGTCAACACAACAATAACACAAGTATTGTGATTTAGTGCCTGTTGTAACAGATTAAGTCTTGAAACTCAATTTATGGCACTGGTGTTTATACCCCTGAATAAGCTATACTGCTGTCTTTTTAGTTAAGACTTGCTTTGAGGTATAGTCTGTCACTTATGTCTGTTAACTTAGTTCATCAAATACCACTTAAGCTTTCTATGTGAAATAGGGTCTTTTGTGTTTTTTAACTGCTGGTCTATGGAAGTCTAGGTGGTCTATTAGTTTTAAATTTTTCTGAGAAACAGATGTTTTTGTTCCATAATTGGATAGTAATGACGCTGCCAGGGAAAGAAAGTAGTCTCGCCCTTCCTTGTTGCTGTACTTCCCCTTTCCTCTCCAGTTGATCCAGTGCAAATATTCATGCAATTGTTCAGGGAACGGTTCCAGACTGTGGGAAGAAGGACAGACTTCTTCTAAAGTTAGATTCATTGTTGATTAAACTCAATGTAGCTGCATGAATGTTTATCCTGATGGAAGAAAGGGGCTAGTGCAGTAGTGGGAACAGTTTGGGAAGAAGGTGAAAACTGTCTTCAGCAGCAGTGCTGTTATAAACTGAATTGAAAACTATTGTAATAACACTTCATTTAAAAAGACAGAAACTATGTACAGTCTGTATAAAGGAGGGACAAGATGTGTGAGGGTTTTGTTTCTTGTTTAATGTTGTAAACAAGTCAAATTAGATTTTTTTTTTAAACTACAAAATCTGCAGCAAAAATGGAAGTATAATAATAAGGGCCAGCAGAAAGATGTTCTCTTGTTTACTGGATGCAGCCCTGACAATCATCAAGAAGAGCAGAAAACTAAGGACAATTTGGGTGCTGTGAAATACTGCATTGTTCAGCAATTGGCAATAACGTGGAATACTTTGCCTGTGACTTCCCTCTGTTCTGTTCACTCAGCTACAGTATTAAATTAAAGGACTTCAAATTCTATGAATCTGTTTGTGGTACTGCTTGCCTACCAAGTGTAGACCAAACTTAGTGTTTGGTCTTCTGTAGTCTGTTCTTTTGAAATGTGACTGCAGGCCTCTGACCAGACAAATTCTAGCTCTGAGCTTGTAAAAATATGTCCTTACAAATATGTCCTTACAGGTGCAAGTTTTCCAGGTGTCAGTATGCCTAACAGAGAGCATGATGTGCTGATCCCTCTTTTGGAGGGAAGAGGCACATCAGCAATGCAGCCTGCACGTACTTCCAGCAGGGAGGTGTATCTGTAGTCATCCCGTTCTCGGCCTACTACCCTCCAGGATGGATTGGCAATATTAATGCCACATAGTGCTTGGCCAAGGCTCACTGTACAGGACGTGCCACTTCTATGCCTCTGAAACACGATTTGCTCTTGGTAGTTCCAAGTGCTGGGATGGTGGGTTTGATGGTGTGCAGACTTGGACTGTATGAGGTGCAGAGCCCTTGGGGACAATGTTGGAAAACCATTTTAGGTGAATGGAGCAAAACTGTTTCACAGGTCCCTCCAGACAGACAGTATGGATGTAGACTGTGCCTAAAATGTTCTTTCAAACTGGCTTCCTCTTTACTTATGGGCTCCCTACCAAAAGAAGCTAACCGTTATGGAGCTGTTGTGGCTCATCGAGGGGCCAGGGTTTAGAAGTAAAATGGAACAGGACAAATTGACTGTGTAAACGTACCCCAGTGGGTTAGCAGAGACAAG